AAACACAAATGACCCCGAAATTATTTGAACTCCAGAAGCTCCTAACTTATTTTAAAATAATTTTAAAATAAAACAAGGACTCTCGAAGATTCTTCAAAAAAAGATCTCTTTAGATTAAAAAAAAAATAATAAAACCAAAAAGAGCTTTGAGCTTTCCAATTCTTAAAAAAAAAAACACAAGGTATCCAAAAATGTTTTAAATTTAAAAAAAAGTAACCGCCAGTGGCCCCCAGATTATTAAAAACTGTTTAAAAAAACGGGAGTTCACGAAATAAAAAAAAAATCAAAATTAAAACAAAGAACCCACTGGGGTCGTTGAAAATATTAAAAAGAAAATTTCAAGTGGTCACCAAGATCTGTTTAAACTTTTCAAAAATAAAACACCAACGGTCCTGGAGATTTTTAAAAAACTTTTCAAAAATAAAACAGAAGCGGCTGTGAAGATCCTTGTACTTTCTTAAAAAAAAAACAACAAGGGGTTTCCCAGATCTCCTTAACTATTCTCAAAAATAAAACACCAGAAAGCTCAGAGATTCTTTTCTTTCAAAATAAAAAAATATCTTTAAATTTTTTCAAAAATAAAGCACAAATAGCGCCGAGATTATTTGAAAATCTAAAAAAAGAACACCAGGAGCTACCAAGATTTACAAATTAAATACTCCTAAAACACCCCAATGGACTTCAAAAAGATTTGTTTAAATTTTTCAAAAAAAAAAAAAAAGACAAAAACCTCGAAGCTTTCAAACTCTTAAAGAAAAACATCAAGTATCTTAGATGTTTTAAAATAAAAAAAATCCAGAAATTAAACAAAGTGCCCTAAATATTTTTTAGATTATTATTAAAAAAAAGACACTAAGGTATTCAAAATTCTTTAAAACTCTTCAAAAAAAAAACACCAGTGGTTTCCAAGATCTTTTTAAATATTTTCATAAATAAAACACCAGAAATCTAAGAGATTTTCCTCTTTCAAAATAAACGATCTTTTTAATTTTTTTCAAAAATTAAAACACTTAAAAAATCAGGAAGTTCCCGAGATTTCTTTTAATTTTTCGAAGATAAAATAAAAGGGACCTCAAAGAATCTTCTCTTAAAAAAAGGATCTCTTAATTTTTTTTCATAAATAAAAGACAAAAGACATTGAAGATTTTTTTAAACTCTTAAAAAAACGCCAGGAGTTCTCAAGATTCAAAAATTAAATATTGAAAAAACCCACTGAACCTCAAAAATTCTTCTTCAAAAAGATTTGTTTAAATTTTTGTCAAAAATAAAGCACTAAAACCTTGAAGCTTTCAAACTCTTAAAAAAACACCAAGTGCGCCAGATGTTCTAAAATTAAAAAAAAAAAACGAAGCGGTCCCGAGATTATTCTAAACAAAAAAATACCCGGAGTTCCCGAGATTTAAAAAAATCCAGAAATAAATCAAAGTGCCCCAATTTTATTTTAGATTATTTAAAAAAAAAGACTAAAGTCTTCAAATTTCTTTAAAACTCTTAAAAAAACACCGGTGGTCTCCGAGATCTCCTTAAATATTTTCCAAAATAAAACACCAGAAGTCTCAGAGGTTTTCCCCTTTGAAAATAAAAGATCTTTTTAAATTTTTTCAAAAATTAAACACTTACGAAAACAAAGAGTTCCCGAGATTTTTTTTTAATTTTTCGAAGATAAAATATAAGGGACCTCACAGAATTTTTTCTTAAAAAAGGATCTTTTTAAATTTTTTCATAAATAAAACACAAAAGACCGTGAAGATCCTTTGAAACTATTAAAAAAACAACACGGGTACCTAAGATTTAAAAATTAAATATTAAAAAACCAGATGATTTGTTTATTAAATTTTTTCAAAAATAAAACACAAAGACCTCGAAGCTTTCAAACTCTTAAAAAAACACCCAGTGCCGTAGATGTTTTAAAATTAAAAAAAAATTAAGAGGTTCGAAATTATTCAAGACAAAAAATACCCAGAGTTCCCGAGTTTAAAAAAAGTCTAGAAATAAAACAAAATGCCCTAAAGATTCTTTAGATTATTTAAAAAAAACAAATACAAATCTTCAAAATTCTTTAAAACTCTTAAAAAACACCGGTGGTCTCCGAGATCTCTTTATATATTTTCCAAAATAAAACACTAGAAGTGTCAGAGATTTTCCCCTTTGAAAATAAAAGATCTTTTTAAATTTTTTCAAAAATTAAACACATACGAAAACAAAGAGTTCCCGAGATTTTTTTTTAATTTTTCGAAGATAAGATATAAGGGACCTCAAAGAATCTTCTCTTAAAAAAAGGGTCTCTTTAAATTTTTTCATAAATAAAACAAAAGACCTTGAAGATCCTTTGAAACTCTTAAAAAAACACCTGGAGTTTCCAAAGTTTGAAAAGTAAATATTAAAAAGCCCACTAGACCACAAAAATTCGTGTTTCAAAAAAATGTGTTTAAATTTTTTCAAAAATAAAACACGAAGTCCTCAAAGCCTTCGAACTCTTAAAAAAACACCAAGTATCTTGATGTTTCAAAATAAAAAAAAAAACGAAGAGGTTCCGACATTTTTCAAAACAAAAAAATACCCGAAGTTCCAGAGATTAAAAAAACCCAGAAATAAAAAATTCTTTAAAACTCGTAAAAACAATACCAAGGAATCTCAGAAAGATCTTTAAAACTTAAAAAAAAAACAGGTCCTCGACATGTTTTCAAATTCTTAAAAAAAGAGTTCCAACATTTCTAAAAAAATTTCAAAAATAAATAACAAAGGACCTATGTCGTAAGAAAAAATCACTTTATAATTTGTTGAAGCTTTCAAATTCTTTAAAAAAATTCTTAAAAAATAAAGCACCAGGAGTTCCCGATATTTAAAAAAATCGCTCTTTTTGATGCCTTTTTTTTATATGATCGCAATTTTTGTTATCATTTTGTCGTTTTTATCGCCTTTTTTTTAAACTTTGTTGCCATTTTTCTTGTCTTTTTTTTTGGTTGCTTTTCTTTTTTACGTTTTCTGTCTACATCTGTCGCATTTTTTAAACCGCTTTTTGACTTTCTCATTGCCTTTTATGTTGGTTTTTTTTTTTTTGTTAGGTTTTTTATTTCGTCCATTTTGTCGTTTTTTTGTCGCTTTTTGTCAAAAGTTTCCCCCGTTTTGACAGTATTTTGTCCCTTTGTTTATTATTACCTTTTTTATATTTTTCTTGATGTTTTTTGGCGTTTTTCTTGTCCTTGCTATCAAGTTGCGTCACAAAATTTTATTAAAAAACTGATAAACGTATTTTTTCATAGAAAATAATTTTTCTTTCAAAAAATAAAGCACAATGGCCCTTGAAATTCCCTTAATATGCAAACTCCTTAAAAAACCACAACATCTATTCAAATAAATGTGACAAGTGAGTTTATAATTTTCAAACTTTTTCCAAAAAAAATTGTCAAAATGGGTTCAATCCACTTAAAATTGGCGTCAATTTGTTGATAATCGTCCGTTAACTGCGACTCCGATATCGCCGTCATGACATCTATTCAAATAAATACCAAAAGTGGGTTCACAATTTTCAAAATTTTTCAAAAAAAAATTAATAGCTACGTTGAAAATTGACTTCAGCTATTCTATCCTAGTCTAAATATATATACACACCGAAAAATAAAATAAATGTTAATTTTATTATGCACACACTGCATCCTACAACCACTCCTACATAACAATTCCACGGGTCCCATGGCCCATCGGACCACTCGTCTCTATCTTCGTACCATCAGCCGGCTTTATTTAAAATCACGTAGTAAGAAAACCATTCCAACTCCTGATAACACGCACTCATGTTTGAATCCAAGAAACACCACTCATGTCGTCCAAATTAGCATTCAACGTCAGTCTTAATTGTCATCGGTTGTTAAACTTTTTGGCATTTATTTTAGTACCCGTTCGTATAAGCAATATAACTTAACCGGTGTATAATTCAAGTTTAAAACGACTAGTTGTTTCGGTATAAATTTGGCAAAACCTGTTGTTTCCTGCTCCTCTAATATTTTCGTTAATTTGAATACTGTTTTGAGGTCGACCGAGATATTTTCGTTGCTTTTATTTTCCGGTAGAGTTTTTTCCCTCCACTCGAACTAATAGCAAGTGCTTTTTTAGCGACGGTCCCTCGCATGCCGCTAATGACTTCGCTTCAATTTTTTTAAATAACAAGCAATAAAAACAATAATTGTTATCGCAGCCGTAAAATATCCAAGTTTTTCTAATTGTGCATATTTTAACACCGTGTTGTTGCAGATGACGCTCATTCCAATGCTAATTTGTAGCCACTTTTTATGTTTTATAACCCGCAATTAATTAAACTGCAGTGCTCATTTTAATGTAAAAAAATTCCATATCAAGTTGGCACGTCGGCCAAAGCGACCCTATCGTGGCGAGTCCCCTCATCTCACGCGGTACAAAAGTTGAAGCCTGTTTGACGAACTGCCAATTTCCTCATTTACTAAAATCCGAGAAAGCTAATAATAGAGATAGTAACACGAAACGGACGTTGCTTTAAAAAATGGATTTTGGTTGCACTTGACGTATGTAACCTTGACACTACGACATTTAACCGTTGTCCTGATCGACATAACCTCAAAATTCTGTTACGTGTCTTAAAACATATCTTTCCCAAGGTCTACACCGTAATAGCACGTTAGGAATGCATAATTTAAAAACGACGCATTATACAATTATCCGGTTACCAACGTAAGAGAAAAAAATCGGTGATTTATGTCGAAATAAACAAACGAAGGGGGCCATCTTCTCCAACTTCGTAACAAAATGTCGTCTGCATTAGTCTTGGGTCTATAAATACGCCAACTTTGTTTCCTGCCGCGATAAACAAACTTTATGTGTTTATATCCTTCACCTCCAAATCGAAAATACCGATTCTCCTCCATCCTCGCTCTATTTTTAATCAAAATCGTCAAGATCGAGTGTACTATGTAAACACATCGTCGACCTTGAGAAACTGCGCCCAAAGTACACGTGTTTTGTTCCAGGTGACCGACCTGTACAAACAAATGAAGGACCAAAACCACCAAGCACCAACCCGCTCGGTGAGCAGCGCTGCCAACCTCACGTCCTTATGCGTCGACATATCACCAAGTTCTAGTAATTTTTTTGAGGTAAGCGTTCCATTTGTAAAACCATACATCTTGTAAGCCTTAGCGATAAGTTTTCTTGTATAAGAAACTACTTTGCATTTAGAGATATTCAACATTAACCTGTTGCGAATACACCAAACATCAGTAGTCAAGCAAAATCAAGCAAAACTGAAGATAGTAACAATCATTAACAGAATTAATTTCCATGTATAATTTGAGATCATCAGCCAACGTAAGTTTATTGCGGGATAGCATCAGGAAGATCGTTAATAAAGAGCAAAAACAACAAGGGTCCTAAGTTCGATCCCTGTGGGACCCCAGAAGATGGAGCTAGCGGGTTTAGAGTTAAAATTTCTGTATTTCACAAATGAGATTCTACCGGTCAGATAGACTTAAAAGTTTCAGTAACGGATTTCTGAAGCCAATACTACATAGCTTTTGCATGCCGACTAGATGAAATCAATAGCTTCGTCGATGAGTAAATGTGATAATACAAAATTGATTCGAAAACCGTAGCAAAGTTGCAAAGTATCTAAATACCTCTATAATTTGTCACCTGATTCTGCTGTCCTTTCTTAAAAATAGGACAATTATTTCAAAATCAGTGTTATCTTACTAAGTACTAGGCCCGCCCACCCGCCCTCTATTTGTTCGGGAATATATCATTAGCAAAAGTATTTAGCAAGTAATTTATAAAACCGAAAATATTAATGTAAATCTAATTTTGGCAGATGATATATGTTCTAAGAAAATAGAGGGCGGGTGGGCGGGGCTAGTACTTGCTATGATAAAACTGATTTTGGCAGATGACATACCCTTTAAGAGAGTAAAGGGTGGGTGGGCGGGGTTAATAAGTTGTAAAGATGAGATTCATTTTGGCAAATGACATTCCTTTTAAGCACTCATCCTCTATTTTCTTAGAGGATTTATCATTTGCTAAAATCAGTCTTATTTTAGCAAGTACTAGCCCCACCCACCCGCCTTCTATTTTCCTAGAGAGTACATCATCTGTCAAAATCAGTCATATCTTGGCAGGTACTAGCCCCGCCCACCCACCCTCTATTTTCTTAGAGAATATGTGATTTGCCAAATTCAATCTTGTCTTAAACAAGTACCAAAATCACTCGTATCTTAGGAAATACTAGCCCCGCCGACCCGCCCTCTGCTTTCTTAGAAGCTTTATCATTTGCCACTATCACCCTTATTTTAGAAAGGACTAGCCCTGCCCACCCACCCTCTATTTTCTCAGAGAATATATCATTTGCCTTAGCAAGTACTAGCCCCGCCCACCCACCCTCTATTTTCTTAGAGCGTATGCCTTTTTCCAAATTTACTCTTGTCTTAACAAGTGCTAGCCCCACCCACCAGCCCTCTATTTACTTAGAAGCTTTATCATTTGCCAAAATCACTCTTATCTTAGCAAGTACTAGCCCCACTCACTCGCCCTCAATTTTCTTAGAAGGTTTATCATTTGCCAAAATCAGACTTATCTTAATAAGTACTAGCCCAGCCCACCCGACTTCTGTTTTCTTATGGGTTACATCATTTGCCAAAATCAGTCTTATCTTAGCAAGTACTAGCCCCGCCCACCCGCCCTCTATTTTTTTAGAGAATGTTGTTTTCCAAAATCAGTCTTATTTTAGCAAGTACTTTACAATACTGGATATATATATATTATTAATATTAATATAAATCTAATTTTGGCAGATGATATACCCTCTAAGAAAATAGAGGGTGGGTGGGCGGGGCTTGTAGTTGCTAAGACAAAACTGATGTTGGCAGATGACATACCCTTTAAGAGAGTAAAGGGTGGGTGGGTGGGGTTAGTAAGTGGTAAAGATAAGACTGATTTTGGCAACTGACATTCTTTTTAAGCACTCATCCTCTATTTTCTTAGAGAATTTATCATTTGCCAAAATCAGTCTTATCTTGGCAAGTACTAGGCCCGCCCACCCGCCCTCTATTTTCTTAAAGGGTATATCATTTGCCAAAATCATTCTTATTTTAGCAAGTACTTTAGAATACTGGATATATATGTTATTAATACTAATATAAATCTAATTTTGGCAGATGATATATGCTCTAAGAAAATAGAGGGCGGGTGGGCGGGCCTAGTACTTGCTAAGATAAGACTGATTTTGGCAGATCGACATACCCTTTAAGAGAGTAAAGGGTGGGTGGGTGGAGTTAGTAAATTGTCAAGATAAAATTAATTTTGGCAAATGACATTCCTTTTAAATACTCACCCTTTATTTTCTTGGAGGATTTATCATTTGTCAAAATCACTCTTATTTTAGCAAGTACTGGCCTCACCCACCCGCCTTCTATTTTCTTAGAGAGTACATCATCTGTCAAAATCAGTCATATTTTGGCAAGTACTACCCCCGCCCACCCACCTTCTATTTTCTTAGAGAGTATGTGATTTGCCAAATTCAGTCTCGTCTTATAACAATTACTAGCCTCGCCCATCCGGCCTCTATTTTCTTAGAGGGTATGTCATTTTCCAAATTCAGTCTTGTCTTAAACAAGTACTAGCCCCACCCACCCACCCTCTATTTTCTTAGAAAGTTTATCATTTACCAAAATCCGACTTATCTTAGCAAGTACTTGCCCCGCCCACCCGCCCTCTATTTTCTCAAAGAATATATCATTTGCATAATCGCGTGTATCTTACGAAATACAAGCCCCGCCCACCCACCCTCTATTTTTTCAGAAAAAATATCATTTGTCAAAATCAGTCATATCTTAGCAAGCACTAGCCCCGAGCACCCGCCTTGTATTTTCTCAGAGAATATATCATTTGCCTTAGCAAGTACCAGCCCCGCCCACCCACCCTCTTATTTTCTTAGAGAGTATTGTCTTATAACAATTACTAGCCCCGCCCATCCGCCCTCTATTTTCTTAGAGGGTATGTCATTTTCCAAATTCAGTCTTGTCTTAAACAAATACTAGCCCCACCCACCCGCCCTCTATTTTCTTAGAAAGTTTATCATTTGCCAAAATCGGATTTATCTTGGCAAGTACTAGCCCCGCCCACCCGCCCTCTATTTTCTCAGAGAATATATCATCTGCCAAAATCACTCGTATATTAGGAAATACTAGCCCCGCCCACCCGCCCCCCATTTTCTTGGAAAATATGTGATTTGCCAAAATTAGTCTTATCTTAGCAAATACTAGGCCCGCCCACCCGCCCTCTATTTTTCTGTAGGCTATGTGATTTGCCAAAATCAGTCTCATTTTAGCAAGTACTAATAAAAAATGAAAAACTTGAAAATTAACAATTGAAAACTCGTGAAATTACTGATCGAAAAATGCAAAATCTAAAAATTGAAACAATTTAGTAAAAATGAAATTGTACTAATAAAATGCAATCCTGGATTCTATTATTTATTAATAGAAAGCCCAACTTCCTGTCTTCACAGCCAATAAAAGTGAATTATCAAAACGAAATAGGGGCGGGTGGGCGGGGCTGCTTTTTACTTTGTTTTAAATCTTAGACTCTATAACTTGTGAAAATAAGTCAGTGAAATAGAGAAAAGAGGTGGGCGGGGCTGAATTTAACTTTTTTCTGGGGAGTCTTATAAGAAGCAAGCAGTGGCCCCGCCCACCTACCCTGTCTTCTTTTCAATGACTACTCTTAATATTGTTCAATCTTATCTTAGCGAGTAGTAGCCCCGCCCACCTCCCCTCTATTTCCTTAGAGAGTAGGTATGTCATTTGCCAAAATATGTCTTATTTTAGCAAGTACTTTACAATACCGGATATATTAATATACATAAATATAATTTTGACAAATGACATACCCTCTGAGAAAATAGAGGGCGGGTCGGAGGGCTAGTACTTCGTTAGTTACGACTGATTTTGGCACATGACATATCCCCTAAAAAAATAAAGGGCGGGTGGGTGGGGTTAGTAGTTGTAAAGATAAGACTGATATTGGCAAATATTATACCTTTTAAGCACTAGCCCTCTATTTTCTCAGAGAATATATCATGTGCCAAAATCACTCATATCTTAGGAAATACTAGCCCCGCCCACCTGACCTCTGTTTTCTTATACATTACATCATTTGCCAAAATCAGTCTTATCTTAGCAAGTTGTAGCCCCGCCCACCCGCCCTCTATTTTCTTAGAGAATGTCATTTTCCAAAATCAGTCTTATTTTAGCAAGTACTTTACAATACCGGATATATTAATAAAAATCTAATTTTGGCAGATGATATACTCTCTAAGAAAATAGAGGGCGGGTGGGCGGGGCTAGTACTTGCTAAGGTATAACTGAATTTAGCAGATGACATACCCTTTAAGAAAGTAAAGGGCGGGTGGGTGGGGTTAGTAGTTGTAAATATATGACTGTTTTTGGCAAATAATATACCTTTTAAGCACTAGCACTCTATTTTCTTAGAGAATTTATCATTTTTCAAAGTCAGTCATATCTTAGGAAATACTAGCCCCGCCCACCAGCCCTCTGTTTTCTCAGAGAATATACCATTTGCCAAAATCACTCATATCTTAGGAAGTACATTTTTTTCCTTATGTTTCGAACCAAATCGTTTGTCTTCTTTATCCAGGTACTCTTCCTAGTGTATGTTTCAAGTTTCTAGTCTTTACCTCGAAATTTTTCTAATTTTGTGAAGTACTACTTATTTTTATACCACTACTTTTTTTCTTCTTCCTCTAGATACTTTTTTCTACTATTTCTTGTATGTGTGTTTCTTGTTTTTCCCTCGCAATTTTTCCAATTTCGTAAAGTACGACCAAAATACTTTTACTGTAATTTTTTCTTCTCTCGTGTTGAATCGAATCGTTGTTCTTCTTCATTTAGGTCTTTTTCTTCACCATTTCTCGTATCTCTCGGTTTTCATATTTTTGCTTCGTACCACTTTAGAATTTTTGCGTTAATTTTTGGTACCGTTTCCATTTTAGAAACAATTTTTTTCCAAATGCATTTGTCAAGTTACAGTTTATTTTTTTCCTCTCTATGTTTTGAATCGAATTCTTTCTCTTCCTTATGGAAGTACTTTTCCTAATATTTCGTGTATGTTCAAGGTTCTAATCTTTCCCTAGAAATTTTTCTAATTGTGTACAGTACTTTCTAAGGATTTTCGCCTCAATTTTTCGTACCATGTCCATGCTATAAATGATTTGTTTTTATTTTTGTTCCCAAATTCCAAAATGAATCTTATCCTAGCAAGTACTAGCCCCGCCCATCCGCCCTCTATTTTCTTAGGGATTGTCATTTTCGAAAATCAGTGTTAGTTTAGCAAGTACTTTACAATACCGGATATATTAATAAAAATCTAATTTTGGCAGATGATATAGCCTCTAAGAAAATAGAGGGCGGGTGGGCGGGGCTAGTACTTGCTAAGATAAAACTGAATTTGGCAGATGACATACCCTTTAAGAAAGTAAAGGCGGGTGGGTGGGGTTGGTAGTTGGAAAGATAGGACTGATTTTGGCAAATAATATACCTTTTAAGCACTAGCACTCTATTTTCTTAGAGGATTTATCATTTTCCAAAATCAGTCATATCTTACGAAGAAAATTGTTTTCCTTATGTTTTGAACCAAATCGTTTGTCTTCTTTATCCAGGTACTGTTCCTAGTGTATATTTCAGGTTTCTAGTCTTTACCTAGAAATTTTTCTAATTTTGTGAAGTACTACCTATTTTTATACCACTAATTTTTTTCTTCTTCCTCTAGGTACTTTTTTCTACTATTGCTTGTATGTGTGTCTTTTGTTTTTCCCTCGCAATTTTTCCAACTTCGTAAAGTACGACCAAAATACTTTTACTGTAATTTTTTCTTCTCTCGTGTTGAATCGAATCTTTGTTCTTCTTCATTTAGGTCTTTTTCTTCACCGTTTCTCGTATTTCTCGGTTTTCATATTTTTGCTTCGTACCACTTTAGAATTTTTGCGTTAATTTTTGGTACCGTTTCCATTTTAGAAACAATTTTTTTCCAAATGTATTTGTCAAGTTACAGTTTATTTTTTTCCTCTTTATGTTTTGAATCGAATTCTTTCTCTTCTTTATGGAAGTACTTTTCCTAATATTTCGTGTATGTTCAAGGTTCTAATCTTTCCCTAGAAATTTTTCTAATTTTGTACAGTACTTTCTAAGGATTTTCGCCTCAATTTTTCGTACCATGTCCATTCTATAAATGATTTGTTTTTATTTTTGTTCCCAAATTCCAAAATGAATCTTATCCTAGCAAGTACTAGCCCCGCCCGCCCGCCCCTATTTTCTCAGAGGATATGCCATTTGCCAAAATCATACTTATCTTGGCAAGTACTAGGCCCGCCCACCCACCCTCTATTTTCTCAGAGAATATATCATTTGCCAAAGTCACTCGTATCTTAGGAAATACTGGCCCCGCCCACCCGACCTCTGTTTTCTTATAGGTTACATCACTTGCTAAAATCAGTCTTTTCTTAGCAAGTACTAGCCCCGCCCATGCGCCCTCTATTTTCTTAGGGAATGTCATTTTCGAAAATCAGTCTTATTTTAGCAAGTACTTTACAATACCGGATATATTAATAAAAATCTAATTTTGGCAGATGATATAGCCTCTAAGAAAATAGAGGGCGGGTGGGCGGGGCTAGTACTTGCTAAGATAAAACTGAATTTGGCAGATGACATACCCTTTAAGAAAGTAAAGGTCGGGTGGGTGGGGTTAGTAGTTGGAAAGATAAGACTGATTTTGGCAAATAATATACCTTTTAAGCACTAGCACTCTATTTTCGTAGAGGATTTATCATTTTCCAAAATCAGTCATATCTTACGAAGTAAATTGTTTTCCTTATGTTTTGAACCAAATCGTTTGTCTTCTTTATCCAGGTACTTTTCTTAGTGTATATTTCAGGTTTCTAGTCTTTACCTAGAAATTTTTCTAATTTTGTGAAGTACTACCTATTTTTATACCACTAATTTTTTTCTTCTTCGTCTAGGTACTTTTTTCTACCATTGCTTGTATGTGTGTTTCTTGTTTTTCCCTCGCAATTTTTCCAACTTCGTAAAGTACGTTCAAAGTACTACTGTAATTGTTTCTTCTCTCGTGTTGAATCGAATCGTTGTTCTTCTTCATTTAGGTCTTTTTCTTCACCATTTCTCGTATCTCTCGATTTTCATATTTTTGCTTCGCACTACTTTAGAATTTTTGCCTTAATTTTTGCTACCGTTTCCATTTTAGAAATATTTTTTTTTCAAATGTATTTCTCAAGTTACAGTTTATTATTTTTTCCCCTTTATGTTTTGAACCGAATTGTTTCTCTTCTTTATGGAAGTACTTTTCCCGTTAACTCGCATATGTTTGCACCTGAATTTTTCGTGTCATGTCGATTCTACAAATGATGTTTTTCTCATTTTTTGTTTTCAAGTTTATTGTTAGTACTTTTTTACGTGTTGTTTCGACTTTTTTTCTTTATCGAGGTACTTTTCTTTACAATTTCTTGTCTTTCTCTCGCAATTTTTCCAACTTCGTAAAGTACGACCATTCCAGAACCGATTTTTTTTCCATTTTTTTTTTTTTGAAGTTATAGTTCATTCTTTGTTTCATCTTTCGTAATGAATCAAATTAATTTTCTTCTTTATCGAGGTACTTTCCTTCATCATTTGTTGTATCTTGCGATTTTCTTGTTTTTCTTTCTTAAGGTAGTACTTTAGAATTTTCGCCTTAATTTTTGGTTATTATTTCCATTTCAGAAACAATTTTTTCCAAATATATTTAATTAATCAAGTTACAGTTTATTCTTTTTTCCTCTTTATGTTTTGATTTGAATCGAATTCTTTCTCTTCCTTATGGAAGTACTTTTCCTAATATTTCGCGTATGTTTCAAGGTTCTAATCTTTCCCTAAAAATTTTTCTAATTTTGTACAGTACTTCCTAAGGATTTTCGCCTCAATTTTTCGTACCATGTCCATTCTATAAATGATTTTTGTTTTTATTTTTTGTTCGCAAATTCCAAAATCAATCTTATCCTACAAGTACTAGCTCCGCCCACCCACCCTTTACTTTCTTTGAGGGTTTGTCATTTTCCAAAGCAGTCTAGTCTAACCTGACCTGACCTGACCTGATCTAACCTTACTTAATGTACTTTATAGTACGGGAAAAATTAAATGTGACCTTCGCAAGAAACATGTGTTTAAGGGTACAGAAAATTCAGATTGTAGAACAAAATAGGCAGAAAAAATTAAAATAGGTCGAACAAATGCAAAAAAGCACTCCTGATCAAAAATAGTCAAGTAGAGCTCAAACAGAATGAAAATGAAATCCGCTCTTTACTCCAATTTCAGGTTTTATACATCGGCAAAATCAAGGTATGGCAGAAAAAAGTCCCCGACACCTTCATCGACGACGCTTTGGAGAAGTTCAAGGCGCACGAGCTGGAGAAAACTCGGGCCAAGATGCTGGGGAGCATCGGGAGGCTGAAGAGCGAGGACAACATGAGGAGGGGGTCCATCGACTCCACGAGCTCGGGCGAGAGCGTCCACTGCCACCACCTACAGCGGTCCATGTCGTCCATCACCAATCTGAGTGTGCGGCCCCAGGAGACCGACGAGGACAAGGAGAAGGCGCAGTCCAGCGACAACGAGTCCACTTCCAGCGGCAAGGACGTGTCCCACGCCGTCGAGATGGACGATCACAACCGCACCATGGTGCTGCAGGTGGACCGCACCGACCTGCGCCTCATCAGTCCGGACCGCAAGGTCATTCTTTTGCACAAGCAGCACCGGGATATCGCCACGTGCGTCCAGGGAGTGGTGAAGGCGGAGCACTTCGGGTTCATCTGTCGGGAGGGCACGACTGTGCAGAATTTCGTGGGGTATATTTTTAAGTGCGAGTCGTCTTCCATCGCAGGGGACGCAGTGGCAGGTGGGTGCAGGATATTATCCGTTCACGATCTTTATATAGTAAAGTAGGCTTTGATATTTTTTTTTAAGTTGGATAAACTGATTTGATGATTTAGTTTTTTGTCTGTCAGTGGTCTGATTGACGTTTGCTTTGAGCTGGATTGCCACTTTTCTACTTCATTTATTAGATCAGAATTATTAGACGCAATTTTTTAATCAAGCAAACAAATGTTTTAATTTTGTCAGCATAGATAATTTGTCATTGTGACCGATTCACAGATCATTGCGACATTATTTAAAAAGAAAATTCCTAAAATAGTTTTAATGCAACAAAAAATTGCAATAAAAAGATGTTTTTTGCAGTTTCGAAAAGACAGGCCCGATCTTACTTTCGAAGAAGTAACTATGAGGATCTCGAACATATTTTCTGCAATGTAAAAATACGCAGTAAATTTTTTTTTCTCGTAGGTGGGAACATCAACTGTGGCGAAAATTTTATCAACAGGGGACCAAAATTTAAAAACATCACTATCTGACAGGCGAAAACCAACGAATTTATTTACAAATTATATGTTTCGGAAAGACCTGCAACGACAAATTTGGCAACTTAAGGGGGCTCGCTAGACGAGAGACAAGTTTGAATTGGGCGCCATTTGTTGCCTTAAACGCAACCAGCAATTCTTTTTTTAATCTACCTGACGCGCTGGGATAGACGACTACCGGACGTGGGTCATAAAAGTATCGTAAGCCGATAATGCAGAATAATGATAATTTATGACAGGCGGCCCACAACATACCTTCAGCACAGAATAATCATTTCTCGTATTCGTTTGACATATTCATTTTAATATTCGAGATAATTATTATATTATTCAAACACAATTTAGACACTGTAGAGCAAACAAGGCTTATCAAGCCCGTCTATTAGTTTCTTCGCCTAAATGTATTATTAATACCGTTTTCAAATTACACCAAAATTGAAAAATCGAAAACTTAATAATTGAAAAATTGAAACATTTTAAATGAAAAAAATCGGTAAACCGAAAAATTGAAAAATTTATAAATCGAGAAATTGAACAATCTAAAAATTAAACAATTTAAAAATCGAAATATCAAGGAAAACAAAAAATTAACGAAACATCTAGAACTTAAAAATTGAAAAATTAAAATACCTATCGAAAAATTGAAAAACCGAGAAATCGAAACATCAAAAAATGGAAAAATTGAAGAACCGAAACATTGCAAAATCTCAGAACTGAAATACTGAAAAACTGAAAAATGGAAGGAAAATTGAAAAAATTCAAAATTGAAATCTTGAAAAACTGAAAACTGGAAAGAAAATTGTAGAATCGGAAAAGTGAAAAAATCCAAAACTGAAATATTGAAAAATCCAGAAATCGTAAAATTGAAAAATCACAATTGAAGAAAGAATTGAAAAATCCAGAACTAGAGAAATGAGAAAATCAAAAAATCAGTTAATCGAAAAATTGAAAAATCGAAAAATTTAGAAACGTCAAAAATTAAAAACTGAAAAATAAAAAAAAAATAAAATCGTAAAACTGAAATATCGTGAAGTTTATAAATTGAAAAACTGAAAATTTTTGAAAAAAAAAATTGTATCAAAAACTAAAAATTCAAAAAATCGAGAAATTGAACAATCAAAAAATCAAAACATTGAAATCCCAGTAAGTTGATAAATAGGAAAATTTAAAAAACAAAAATTTTAAAAATCCAAGAATTGAACAACAAAAAGAATCTAAGCCTGAAAACTCAGAAAATTGAATGATCGAGAACAAAAAATCAAAAATTTAAAAATTCGACCAATTGAAAAATCATGGAACTGAAAAATCGAAAAGTCGAGATAGTGAGAAATCTAAAAGCCTAAAACTTTAAAAACTGAAAAATTAAAATATCGAAAAATTTAAAAACCCAGAAAACACAATATCAAAAATTTGAAAAATTGAAGAAACGAAATATTGCAAAATTCCAAAGCTGAAATATTGAAAAACCTAAAAATGGAAGGAAAATTAAAGAATCGAAACAGTGAAAAAATCCCAAACTGAAACATTGAAAAATTGAGAAATGGAAAAATGGGAAAATCAAAAAAATTAGTCTAAAGAGTTTAGACAGTACTTCCCTCGCTATCGGAAACGTGACGACTGCATGCCTATTATGTTTTTTTTCACATTAGATTTCAAAGCATTCGGTTTTGTATTTCCTGATTAAATCAATAAAATAAATTTGCGCATTCATTAAATTTTTTGAGTCACCCTGTTTATCCGAATCCAAAAAATATGAATGGAATGATAAATTACAAGAAGAGACTCATCATATTTTGTAAATTTTAAATAGGATTATACGGCAAACTTTTGAGCTGACGTCATCAATTTTTTGGAGGGGATAAGCAAATATATTTTGACTAAAAATGTATTATGCTCTTTATAACCTTAAAACAGTTGCAAGATTTCAAAGCATTGGGTTCTGTAGTTCCTGATTAAATCAATAAAATAAATTTACGCATTCATTAATTTTTGGGGTCATCCTGTATATGCAAATCCAAAAAACATGAATGGAATGATAAATCACAAGAAGAGACTCATCATATTTTATACAATTCAGATAGGATTTATTCAGCAAAATTTTGAGGTGACGTCATCAATTTTTTAGAGGGGATAAGTAAATATATTGTGATTAAAACGGTCCTGGTTTAATAACAAAAAAATATTATTCGTCTATAAAACAAGCTCATCTTAGACAAAGTATTCGTAAAAAAATATGTGGTAAAAAAAGTTACGTATGCTGGTCCCGACTGCGATTATAGTTTAAATATTTTTTAGAAAATCCTGTCATGGATGTAGAAACATTTGTGACAGCCAAAGAGGTTTTTTTGAGAAAATTATCTTTGAATTTAGACCAAATTTAAATAGACACTAGGCAACAGGCACATTTGGGCAAAAGAAAGAGAAATTAGGGTTACGGCTTCAAATTTTGGACGTATTTACAAACTTAGACCAACTACAGCAATAGCTAAAACTATGGAGTCTCTGTTGTACAGTACATTTAGAGGTAACAGTTATACATACTATGGACAGCAAAGTGAGGAAAAAGCTGTCAAGTGTTTTGAAATAAATAAAAATATAAAAACTGAACGATGTGGCTTGTTTATTTCAAAACAATTTCCTTACTTGGCTGCTAGTCCAGACAGGGTTCTAGAGGATAGGAGTGCATTAGTCGAAATTAAATGCCCTTCAAAATCGCAAGATTTGTCTCCCGAAGAAGCGGTTAGAAAAAAAATAATCAAATTTTGTACATTGACAGACAGAGAATTGAAACTAAAAAAAAAATCATGATTACTACTTTCAAGTCCAGGGACAAATGCTTGTTACGGGTATTTCTAAAGTTTATTTTGTTGTATAGACACCCAATGGAATAAATATAGAAAAAAATTATAAAGACGAAGAAATATATGTAAAAAGATGGCAGATAAACTTGGCAGATTTTGCTTTGGCGCATTATTGCCCGAAATAATTGATTCAAGAAGAAAGAAGAACCTGCCTTTGCGAGAGATTTTTTTTAAATAAATAAAATTTGTTTCTATTTTTTTATGTACTTTAATAATAATTTATTAGGAGTACATTTTTCATCACCAAGACTTGCATATTTTTATTATAAATATATTTTGAAAATGATCTCTCGGCAAATGAAAACATATACGAGCACTTTTTTCGAGTAAACAATGAAGGGAGAAGTTACTGGGCGTAGGGCTTTTTTAAAACACCTCCTTTCTGGGATAAGTAGTAGATACACTTAGCTACTTATACGTGTTAAACAAAAGCTGTATTTTATATATTTTTTATTATTATTATAAATATGTTTATTATTTTTATTAATTAACAAAGCAAAATATATATTAACAATAATATTACAATGAATTTTTAGTAATCATGTGTATTGAATTCAGGATCCTGAGTGGAGTAAAAATATTATAGTTCCCCAGTTTTAATTCGGTTTTATGATAGGACCTCATTGCGTAAAAGTTAATTTTCTTAACAATAGATTACTACGGCCGGCCCTGGCGGCTTGTTATAAAGCTGAGTTCCCTGCCATAAATTAGAAAAATCAGCCGAGAACTCTAACAATCAGCTTATGATAAAGCAGGCGATAAGGGTTTTACCTGAAAGTCGCTTCCGTAAATTTTAGTGGCGCTGCTATCGGCAAAGTACTGAACTAACTGCTCAAATTCTGTCGAATTGATACCCATTTTTTTCAATAACTGTTAGTTTTGGTTAAAAACTCTGCTAACCAATAGATCATTAATTTTCCTCTGATATTCCTGTTAAAATTATTCGACGTATTTTGCATTAATTTGTGGTATATTTTGATTTTAATAAACACATTATTATTTAAACAAATTGTACCATTAACAAACATTTAATGATTCAGCGCCCTGTAAAAAGTGATGTTCTATCCATGTGCGAATTTTCAAGCGATTTTATGATGGTTATGACTCAAAAAACTTGAAAAGAAAACATAAAATGGTGCTTTTTTACGATATTTCTCAGCCATATTTTTTTAGTTGATTGAACTGGTCTCTGCGCCCTAGAGTATGAAAAAAGCTGCAGTTTGATGTATGACACATCTATATTAATATCATTTTTTCATACAAAAAACCAAAAAAATGTTATACCTCGTCTAGCGAGTCCCCTTAAAAAACCGAATATTTCACTGTAGATACTCTTTTGGCATATTCTAGGGAACAGTTGGAATTTAAAGGGGGGCGAACCACATTATACAAAATTCTTAAGTCAATGGGTTATAAACACAGGGAAGTAAATGGTCGCAAAATTCTACTTGAACAAAAACATATCGTTACTTTTTTGAGAACATATTTACAGTTCCTAAATTCTTGTGAAAAATTGACTTTCGTGTATTTGGATGAAACATGGATTTATCAAAATGGTTCGTCCATTCGTCGCTGGGTGCACAATACTGGTCTAAAAAGCAATCCCACCAAAATTAAAAGTGAAGGATCAAGGTTTACTATTCTCCACGCGGGTTGTTCAACGGGGTTCTTGGATGGTTGTAACAATTTTTTAAATTCAAAAAATAGCGATAGAGACTATCATAAAACGATGGAGGGGACAATTTTTCAAAATTGGGTGGTTAGTCCATTTCTGCTTTGGTAAAGTTGAACCAAAAATGTGTGGTGGTTTTAGACAATGCACCGTATCATTCGGTTCAATTGAATAAACCACCCACTTTTTCTAGTAAAAAATGTGAAATGCTGGAATGGCTCTTGAAACAAAGTGTTGAATTTGACAAAAAATTTTCGAAGGAACAGTTATGGGATTTAATTAAACCCTTCAGAAACAATAGAAAAAAAAAGATATTTGGTAGGCGAGACTTTAAGAAAAAGTGGCCATGAAGTTCTTAGATTACCTCCGTACCATTGTCAATATAATCCAATTGAAATGGCGTGGGGATTTTGTAACAACTATTACAACAAGCATATAAATTCTCAACCTTCACTAAAAAATAGGGTGGAGAATTTATGGCTTGAGGCGCTTTCTAAATGTACTTCAAGCATGTGGCAAAATTTTTGTAAACATTGTGAAAAACTTGTTTTGGCAGATTGGGAAAAACTAGGGGAAATCTTTCGTACGAATCTATACCTCCTTTCATTATTTCGCTAGGTGAATCTGATTCAGAATCTGAATTTGAAAATGACGTTGATGATACAGATTTTCATAGCAAAATAATGGAAATGGAGTGAATTGTAGCTTGTCGGGGGGTGATATTTTTACGCATCTTTCGTTCTAAATTTACCAAGGTAGTATGTGAAAAACTACCTGACGTACAACAAAATAAGTATAATTTTAGTTAGATCATCCACGTTGTTACTTTGCACCAAATTTTAAGCATTATTATTTTTTTTTTTGTAACTCTTCATGGACCTGGAGAAGACGTATAGTAACGTCCTTATCAATAAGCGTTTGGAAGTACTTAGTAAAAGCAAATAAAGAGCACTTACGTAAGCATTAGTAATAGCTATATAGATAAATCATTCAATTCAAGACTGGAAAAATGTTTCAGAAGAGCTAAACCCGTCAAAGCACTAGAGCAAGGTTGTTGTCTTTTACCAACCCTTTTAGTAATCTTAGAAAAGTGAAAAAAGAAGTTGGAAGATATGGAAATAGGCTGTTCACAAAGGTCGAAATTTCCATTTCTAAGAAGAGTGGCCGAGCAGAACGAACTGATGATTGAGAATTAAAGATGAGATGCTAAATGTGGCATGCGACAATAGTCGTATGCAGAACCCCCATTCATATAAAAACAATGTTTAAGTGAAATTTTAGTGTTTGTTCCTTACATATGAAATAAACACTTACAAAAAGTCGAATAACTGTTTTAAAAGCGTAAAGTTTTATGCTTTCTAAGAAATGGATACCGTTAACTTGGTCATTGCTACTGAAAACTGAAAGTATCGGCAACAATGTTTATATTTCTGGCATATTTTTTAACCTTTAATTCAATAAAACATAACCTAACGAAATCAGTTCAGGGAATTTTTATTCTTCTGCATCGTATACCAACAAACTCACTAGATTTTCATGGCCAACCCTACTATATAAAGATCGTGAACGGATAATAGTTTAATCATCTTCAGACACAGAAGTACACCCTGTTGTAAAAGTTTTAGTTGAACTACGTACCAGAATGTAGAATTCTAGCTAAGAATTTTTCCAGCCATCACCCAAGCCTTCGGCAGCGCCGAGTCCCGCCCCCGCCCCACCGTCACCTCGTGCGACCACTGCCCCATGGTCTGGTTCCACCGCCTGTGCACCGAGGTGGAGCGCATGTCCGACCGGAAAACCCAAGCCGCCATCTTGCGCCGCCTGGAGGAACTGGACGTAGACGAGCAGAACATCGTCCTCACCAAATTCAAGGGGGCGGAAACCGACTCCGTGCGGGAACAAAACGAGTTCCTGATGATGCTCCTGAGGGCCCACTGCGAGATGAAGCAGGGCCGCCACGTCCACGACACGGCGGAGAACCGGTCCGAGTTCCTGAATCAGTACCTAGGGGGCGGCACCATCTTCATGAAGGCGAAGCGGTCTCTGACGAACTCCTTCGAGATGCTGAAGCGGAAAGCGTCCAAGGACGACTTCGGCGCCACCTTGAGGGAGATGAATCTACCTATAGCGTCTCTGAATCGGGTACGAAGGGGAAATTTGATAAAAGTCGTTCGGTGAATTTATGGGTGGATTTCAGGAGAACTCGCCACATTCGCCGACGATAGAGGTGTCGGATAGGGAGTCGGAGGGGACGAGGTCCAGGTCGTCGACGATTGGGTCCCAGAGCGACCTGAGGGACGTCCACCTCGCCGTCCACGACTACAACAAGAATTCGGTCTCGCCGGATAGGAGCGTGACCACGCCGGACAAAACCCCGAAGTCGCCTATGATGGATATGTAAGTTAATAATAATAGTAATAATTGATTTAAAATTACTCTTATCATAGCAAGTACTAGCCCCGCCCACCCACCCTTCCTTTTTTTTTAAAGAATGTCATCTACCAAAATCAGTCTTATCTTAGCAAGTACTAACCCCGCCCACCCGCCTTGTTCTTATCCTAACAATTTTATTTGTTGTTCAATATAAGATCCTCCTTTCATTCAATTATATGTTCTTCTGTAAAGTGGGAATGACAACTAATGCAACCTAGGTTGTTGAAAAAAGGAAAACAATTTTTTTCCTATAAGATTTGTTTCTTAGTTCAAATGAAAAAAATGAGAACGGGTGGGTGGGCGGGGCTAAGTTTAACGTTATCACCTTATTAGAAAATAGATAAATTGTTAAACAAAGTATCTAGGAAGTATTAAGTTGGTGTTAAATAAGCGTATCGACGTGGGAATCATATTTAGAAAGCAAAATTAGTGATGCTCCTCCCACTTACAAAAGCTCCATCTTAATAAATAATTTCATTGGCCCGGAGAAGGGCGGCGTTTGCAGTTGTACCTCATTGTGTCTACTTTACACAATTTGTTTGTCTATAATGTAACTATAAACGCTGACGACAAAGTCGTTTTTCAAAACTGCTCTTACCAAGTACTAGCCCCGCCCACCCACCCTTTATTTTGGTAGGAAGTATGTCACTTAGCAAATCAGTGTTATCATAGCAGGTCCTAGCCCCGCCCACCGGCGCTGTTCTAATTCTAACGATTTTATTTCTGTGCAGTCGAAGATTCACCCTTCATTCTGACTGGATAAAATCAATCCTTGAAATAGAAACAGGGTGGGTGGGCGGGGTTAATTATATTTTCTTCCGTAGAGAGAGAATGGGAACTAATAGAACGTTGGCTGTATTTCTTATTTCAGATGAAAAAACTGAAAGAACGGGTGAGTGGGCGGGGCTAAATTTAACTTTTTCCTACGGAGTCTTTTATGAGAAAGCAATTAAAAAGTGGTAAATTGTATTAAAAATATATATAAACGTATGTCATTTACCAAATCAGTCTCATCTTCGCAAGTACCAGCCCCGCCCATCCACCCTGTTCTCATTCTAACGATTTTATATCTGTTCAGTATAAGGTTCACTTTTCATACCAGATAAAATCAATCACTGAAAAAGAGGCGCGGAGGGTGGGCGGGGTTAATGTGCTTCTGTACAGTGAAAATGGGAATTTAAAAAACGAAAAAAAAACGTTAATCGCAATTTTTTGTTACACTATTTGCTATAAGATTAATTTCTTACTTCACATGAAAAAAATAAAAGAACGGGTGGGTGGGCGGGGCTAAGTTTAACTTTGCCCTACAGATTCTTTTAGGAGCAAGTAATAGCCCCGCCCACCCACCCCCTCTTCATTCTTGTGACCACTTCTGCTATTATTAATTGCGTCTACTTTACACAATTTACATTATTTGATTTTTATTTAAGTGTAAACGCTGACGGCAAGGTCGTTTTTCGAAAAAAATTAAAATTTCTGTTAAGTGAAAATCCATATTTCATTCGGGCCAGATAAAACCAATCACTGAAATGGAGGCGAGGTTTGTGGGCGGGGTTAGATTAATTATATGTTCTTATGTAGAGTGGGAATAGGAACTAATAAAACGTAGGCTGTTAAAAAAAAGAAAAAGCCCTAATGGTAATTTTTTTTGTTATACTGTTTGCTTTAACATTTATTTCTTATTTCGGATGAAAAAAGAGAGAATGGGTGGGTGGGCGGGGCTAAGTTTAACTTTGTCCTACAGAGTCTTTTAGGAGCAAGTAATAGCCTCGCCCACCAACCCCCCTTTCATTCTTGTGACCAATTCTGCTATTATTAATTGCGTCTACTTTACACAATTTACATTATTTGCAAGTAATAGCCCCGCCCACCCACCCCCTCTTCATTCTTGTGACCACTTCTGCTATTATTAATTGCCTCTACTTTACACAATTTACATTACATGATTTTTATTTAAGTATAAACGCTGACGGCAAGGTCGTTTTTCGAAAAAAATTAAAATTTCTGTTAAATGAAAATCCATATTTCATTCGGGCCAGATAAAACCAATCACTGAAATGGAGGCGGGGTGGGTGGGCGGATTAAATTAATTATATGTTCTTCTGTAGAGTGGGAATAGGAACTAATAGAACGTAGGCTGTTAAAAAAAAGAAAAAACCCTAATCGTATTTTTTGTTATACTATTTGCTGTAACATTTATTTCTTATTTCGGATGAAAAAAAAGATAATGGGTGGGTGGGCGGGGCTAAGTTTATCTTTTTCTTACAAAGTCTTTTATAAGCAAGCAATGTAATCCTAGATTCTGTTATTTGGCAATTTAAAATTCGACTTCCCTCTCAGAGCCAATAAAATGACTGATCAAAACGGAAACGGGGTGGGTGGGCGGGGCCACTTTTACTTCAAAACTAAGGTCATAAACGCGCGACTAACAGAAACACAACCAATAAAAAAAGGTAGAGAAGAGATCAACAAAAAAGGCAACAAAATGCGAAAACGGAGGACAAAAATTCCATAAAAAATAAGAAAAAGGCCACAAAAATACGATTAACAGAAGCCGGTTAAAAAAATTCTACACAAAAAAAGCGACTTCAAAAAGCTATTAAAAAAAAACAAAAATAAAATTCAACTTCTGTCTCAAAGCCAATAAAATGACTGATCAAAACGGAATAGGGGTGGGTGGGCGGGGCTACTTTTGGGAAGTAGAATATAAACAACAGAAAAATATTCTGTTTAGCAAAGATCCACCTTCCATTCGGACCGGGATAAAAGCAATCACTGAAATGGAGGCAGAGTGGGCGGGCGGGGTTAATTGTATGTTCGTCTGTAGTGGGAATTGGAATTAATATAACCTAGGCTGTTAAAAAAAGGGAAACATTTTTCTGTTATACTCTGCCATAAGATTTGTTTTTTAGTTCAGATGAAAAAAATGAGAGAACGGGTGGGTGGGCGGGGCTAAGTTTAACTTTTCCTAGCGAAGTCTTTTATAGGAAAGCAATAGCCCCGCCCACCCACCCCTTCTTCATTCTAGTCGCTATTCTTATCCTTGTTAATTAATGACAACGTTATCACCTTAAACAAAGTATCTAGGAAGTATTAAGTTGGTGTTAAATAAGCGTATCGACGTGAGAATCATATTTAAAAAGCAAAATTACTGTTGCTCCTCCCACTTACAAAAGCTCCACCTTAATAAATCATTTCATTGGCCCGTAGAAGAAGGGCGGCGCTTGCAATTGTACCTCATAGTGCTACTTTACATAATTTATTTGTTTATAATATAAGTGTAAACGCATAGCAGGTCCTAGCCCCGCCCACCCGCGCTGTTCTGTGCAGTCGAAGATTCACCCTTTATTCTGACTGGATAAAATAAATCCCTGAAATAGAGACAGGGTGGGTGGGCGGGGTTAATTATATTTTCCTCCATAGAGAGAATGGGAACTAATAGAACACAGGCCGAATTTCTTATTTCAGATGAAAAAATTGAGAGAACGGATGAGTGGGCGGGGCTAAATTAAACTTTTTCCTACGGAGTCTCTTATGAGCAAGCAATTAAAAAGTGATGAATTGAAATTGCGAAATGTATTAAGAAAATATATAGAACGTATGTCATTTGCCAAAATTAGTCTGATCTGAGCAAGTACCAGCCCCGCCCACCCACCCTGTTCTCATTCTAATGATTTTATATCTGTTCAGTATAAGGTCCACTTTTCATTCGAACCAGATAAAATCAATCACTGAAATAGAGGCGGGGTGGGTGGGCGGGGTTAATTATATGTGCTGTACAGTGAAAATGGGAACTTTAAAAAACGAAACTACTATTTGCTATAAGATTAATTTCTTACTTCACATGAAAAAAATAAAAGAACCGGTGGGTGGGCGGGGCTAAGTTTAAGTTTGCCCTACGAGTCTTTTAAGAGCAAGCGATAGCCCCGCCCACCCACCCCCTCTTCATTCTTGTTACCACTTCTGCTATTGTTAATTGCGTCTACTTTACACAATTTACATATTTGATTTTTATTTATGTATAAACGCAAGGTCGTTTTCCGAAAAAAATTAAAATTTCTGTTCAGTAAAAATCCACATTTCATTCGGACAAGATAAAACGAATCACTGAAATGGAGATGGGGTGGGTGGGCGGGGTCAATTATATGTTCTTCTGTAGAGTGGGAATAGGAACTAATAGAACGTAGGCTGTTAAAAAAAGAAAAAAAGCGCTAATCGTAATTTTTTTGTTATACTATTTGGTATAAAATTTAATTCTTATTTCAGATGAAAAAAAGAGAGAACGGGTCGGTGGGCGGGGCTAAGTTTGACTTTTTCCTACGAGGTCTTTTATAAGCAAGCAATGTAATCCTAGATTCTGTTATTTGTCAATTTAAAATGCAACTTCCTTCCCAGAGCCATTAAAATAACTGATCAAAACGGAAACGGGGTGGGTGGGCGGTGTTACTTTTACTTCAAATCTTAAAACTAAAAAAAGGTCACAAACGTGCGACTAACAGAAAGACAACTAATAAAAAAGAGAAGAGACCAACAAAACGTCAATAAAAAAGGTCACAAAAATGCGATTAAAAAAAGGAAGTCAAAGAAGGTCACAAAAAATGCAAAAAAAAATAAAAAAACGGAAAAAAGTCCAAAAAATGGGAAAAAAGGCAAGAAGACCACAAAAAAAGGCAACAAAATGCGAAAACGGAGGACAAAAATTCACTAAAAATAAGAGAAAAGGCCATAAAAGAAAGAAGCCAAAAAAGGCCAGCAAAAAATTACCAAAAAATCACAAAAATGCGACTAACAGAAGGAGGTTGAAAAATTCTACACAAAAAAGGCGACTTTAAAAAGCTATTTAAAAAAAAACAAAAATAACAGAAAATATAGAAAAAGTGACTAAAAAAGGAGACCAAAAACACCATGATCGAAAGAATGGGTGGGCGGGGTCAAGTGTAACTTAGGTGCCAGCTCCGCCCACCCGCGTTTGTCTCATTCTAACGCCATTTTTTCTGTTCAGTAAAAATCCACATTTCATTCGGACCAGATAAAATCAATCACTGAAATGGTGGCAAGGTGGGTGGGCGGGGTTAATTGTAGTATGTTCTTCTGTAGAGTGGGAATGGGAACTAATAGAACGTAGACCTTAAAAAAAGAAAAATAAAACGCTAATCGTAATTTTTTGTTTATACTATTTGGTATAAAATGTAATTCTTATTTCAGATGGAAAAAAAAGAGAAAACGGGTGGGTGGGCGGGGCTAAATTTAACTTTTTCCTCCAGAGTTTTTTTTATCAGCATACGAACTAATAACTTTTACGAACTTAATATATCATTGACAAACATAGTAAATAACAGCTGTCCAAGATTTGACCCTTGTGCTACACTATTATATTCAACACAGTGACGCCTGTTCATCACCATTGATTTCAACAAAAAAACTAGACTGTTGTTTGTGTTTTGTCGGCTCTCGTTTCAAGTCACCGAACAGATGGACTAATCCCGAAATTCTTTATCTTCTCCTCCAGATTCTTAAAAGTAGGCAGCAGCCCCAAGTCGGTTCCTTCCGAAGACGGCTCGCCCAAACTCGACTCGGGTTCCTGGCGCCAAGCCATCTTCAAACGGGTCATCACCCCCAACAAGACCGAAAAACCCTCAGAAACCAAGAAACGAACCAACGAAGAGCTGCGCGAACTGTGGAAGAAGTCCATCTGCCAGGCCATCCTCCTCGTACGAATGGAGAAAGAAAACGCCCGCCTTAAGGCCGAACAGGAGGAATCGGCCGTCAAACGAATCAAACTGGAGTACGACGAAATGAAACCGTCGCAGAAGGACGTAGTGGAGGTCTGGGAGATGCTCACCAACAAAGAAACGCGGTTGAAGCTGGATAGTCAGATGTTGTTGAACGCAATCAGACAAGGTAAGTGACACCAAACACGTGAAAAGCGGCCATTTTGTCACACTATTATAGGTGTTCCAAGGGGCAAACGTGGTGAAGTGTGGCAATTCCTCGCCGAACAGTACAACATGAAGTACGCCCCTATCAACACCGCCAACTTCCCTAATTACAACGCTCCTTATGATAAACTACTGAAACAGCTCACGTCGCACCAGCACGCCATTTTGATTGACTTAGGGCGGACTTTTCCCAATCACTCGTATTTTAGTAGTCCGTTGGGGCCCGGTCAGCTCGCCCTGTTCAACCTACTTAAAGCCTATTCGCTCCTGGACTCGGAGATGGGCTACTGCCAAGGTTTGAGCTTCGTCGCTGGGGTCCTCCTCTTACACGTAACCACACCCAACTGACCCCCACTCCATCTTACTTACAGATTCTTGTTTCTAGATGGAAGAATCGCAAGCCTTCTTGCTACTCAAGCACCTGATGTTTAGACGGGACATGCGCTTGCAGTATTTGCCCGACATGGTGGGTTTGCAAGTCAAACTATACCAACTGTCGCGCCTCCTCCACGACCAACTCCCCGATCTCTACAACCACTTCGACCTGTACGAGGTGGCACCCACTTTATACGCAGCCCCGTGGCTACTGACCATCTTCGCCTCCCAGTTCCCGCTAGGCTTCGTCACGAGGGTCTTCGGTACGTCGTCACCATGACTAAACTAACCTCAAATTAACCCCTCTTTGCAGATTTGATCTTCCTCGAAAGCCCCGACGTGATTTTCCGAGTGGCCATAGCTCTTTTAACCTTCCACAAAGACAAGCTTCTAGCCTGTGACAGTTTTGAAGAAATTATGAACTACTTAAAGAACACACTACCAGCGATTGACAAGCCCACCCTTGACAAGATTATGAAGCAAGTATACAACAGTGAAATTAGCAAGCAGCTCAACGAGTACAAAGTCGAGTACCAAGTTCTCCAAGAAGAAATGACTTCCGTCCAACCACAAGTAGAAGCCTTGCATAAACTAGAATCTCAGAATAAGACTTTAACCGAGCAGAATAAAGCCTTGATGGGTCAGTTGGAGATGGCGCTAGGCAACGTCCAACGACTGGAAAAAACCCGGACCTTACAACAATCACAACTCAATAAGCTCGAGATGCAAAGTCGGACTTTGGACGTCACTATAGCCACACTGGGTACCTTCATCAACTCTCTAGTTGAACGAAAAGTGGAAGTTGAGATTCCAGACGACATCCGACGGATTCTCAACCAAATCACTATTTCCGAGCGTCGCAAAAGCGAGCTCAAGCCTCAGAACAACCTCATGAAGATGTTCCAAAAGGAGGTCAACCCGGATAAGATCATGGTGAAGAGTTTGAGTACCGGGAAGATCATCCTCCCGGCGCACCTCGACCAGAACATGCTGAGATCCAACAGTTTGAACACCCAGACGTGCAAAGACGACTTGAATACCAAGAATAGCGACAAGTCCCAGAAAGTGTCCCACTTCTTCTCGAGTTCGCACAACCATATCCTGCAGCAGAAGTTTCACCCGAATAACGCCAAGATTGATATTAAGGTCCAGGAGTTCGAGAAGGACCAGAATGAGAAGAACGCCAACGAGAAGAGTATAAGTTTGCCGATTCCGCTGAGTGAGAGCTACCACGAGAAGGTGTCGCCGTGTAACTCGGTCGACAGTGGGGTTGGAACACCCTCTAGTCCCAAAAGCACCGAACACCACCCCTTGAGTAATTGTGATGTTAATTTTACTTTCAACGGCACCAGGGAATTGAAGAATATCAAGAGTATTAGGAACATGTCGAGGAATTCTAGTCCTGATATTATAGGCAAATGATTGCGTGTGATATTAATTCTTAATGTTGTATAAGTTTTATTTTGTAAAGTTAGGTTTTATTATAGGGATTATTTTACTGGAAACGCGACTTTATTTCATTTAGCGTCGGTCGTACTTCTCGAGTACTTATGCGTTGGTATTAAAGCTATTTTCGACTGTGTATTCTATTCTTATCATCACTTGTGATTTGTGAAATTTATAGTATTTAATAATAAAGTAGTTGTTTCTACTGGCGATTCCCCTCTCTCGCACAACCCCAAATCAACCACCCGTAAAAAATACAAAGTTTATTGTCCAAATATACAACACTTTAACCATTAAAAATATAATTGGAATAATAAAAAATGACTATTCATACTAATATACATAAAATTACAAGGACGGATTCTTAAAATTACGACCTAAACAAAATCACTTTGTCCCTAGATTACCTATACATCGCACTACACCACAATGTACAAAAATACAATTTCGTTTGTCTTTTCATCACCGTAAGACATAAGGCACAATTTTGACGAGTAACACCAACAATTTTTTGTACTAAATTAAAAAAAAAAGAAACAACACCTAGTTTACGCTTATCCCTAACAATGAGCAAATTGTCCTATCCTATAACAAATCGTTGTTCACGACTACGATCACCCATTTTAACTTCTAGGGACGTTTCCCATAGGAACATCCTTGTTCTTGGAGGCGGGAGGACCCACGTGGCCGGGGGCCAGGTGCAGCGAACTGAGCCGGTTGGCGCCGCGCACTAACCTAAAACATCAAATAGTAAGCACTCCGGTGTCAACGGCAAGATGACGCACGAAATGGCAGTGTTGGATTGGTCTTACAGGCGCCCCCAAGTGTCTGCGTACAATATAACCGCATTTAGAGACAACAGAAAGCGTCTTCGCGAAATTTGACTATAGTTCAGTGGTTCTACGTGGCTGCATAAAACTCAAGTCTGTTTACAATCGCCCCCAAGTGTCTTCGTCAAATCTAACTGCATTTAAGGTCGCTCCCAAGCGTCTTCGTAAAATTTGACCACATTTACGGTCTCTCTGACTGTGTTTATACGATTTTACCAAAGTCACCAGTGGCTCTAGGTGTCTCCGTGAAATTTATTAGTATTTACAGTCGCCCCCAAGTGTCTATGTAGAATTTTTCTGTGTTTATGTTATCTCCGAGTATCTACGTAAAATTGAAACGTATTTGGAACTGCCACCATGTACTTCATCGGATTTAACTGTAGTCACAATGGGCTTTGGTCTTTCCGTGAAATATAACCCTGTTTACAGTCGCCCCCAAGTGTCTACGTGAAATTTAGTCGCTTGTATAGCCGAATCCAAGTGTCTTTGTCAGATTTTACTATGGCTACAGTAGCCCCTGGGTGTTTCCGTAAAATCTTGCCCTGTTTACAGTCACCCCCAAGTGTAAAATTTAAACGTATTTAGTGCTGCCACCATCTATCTTCATCGGATTTAACTATAGTCATAATGGTCCTTGGTCTTCCCGTCAAATCTAACCTTGTTTACAGTCGCCCCCAAGTGTCTATGTGAAATTTAGTCGCTTGTGCAGCCAATATCAAGTGTCATTGTCAGATTTGACTATGGTTACTGTAGCCCCTAGGTGTCTCCGTACAAACCTTGCTCTGTTTGCAGTCGCCACCAAGTATCGTCGTAAAATTTAACCAAATTTGCGATCGCCCATGAGCGACATTGTAAGGACTAACTAGGATCAACCGTGGCCCTAAGTATCTACGTAAGATTTAATCATATTACAATCGCCCCCAAGTGTCTTCGTTAAATCTAACCGCGTTTACGGTCGGACTTGAGTGCTGTTGTAAAATCCGACTAGTGATTATGGTTAGCCGTGGCCCAAGGTGTCTCCGCAACATTTTATAGTATTTACAGTCGCCCCTAAGTCTCTTCGAAAAATCCAACCTAATTTACGGTGGCCCTCAAGTGTGAATAAAAATGTAGTGGTATTTGGAGCCGCTACCAAGGGTCTTCATCAGATTTAACTATAGTTACAATGGCGTTTAGGTGTTCCGTAAAATCTGACCCTGTTTACAGTCGCCCCCAAGTGTCTTCGTCAAATTTAAAAGCATTTACGGTCGTCTCCATGTGTCTGCGTAAAATTTAATTGCCTTTGTGGTCAATACCAGAAGTCTTCGTTAAATTTGACTATAGTTACGTGGTCCCTAGGCGTCTCCGTAAAATCTTAACCTGTTTGCAGTCGCCCCAAGTGTTGCCGTCAAATTTGACCAGATTTGCGGTCGATTATTAGTGACTTTGTAAGGACTAATTTAAGATTTAATCATATTACAATCGCCCCCAAGTGTCTTCGTTGAATCTAACCGCGTTTACGGTCGTCTTTGAGTGCTGTTGTAAAATCTGACTGGTGATTATGATCAGCAGTGGCCCTAGATGTCTCTGCAATATTTTATAGTATTTACAGTCGCCCCCAAGTCTCTTCGAAAAATGCAACTTAATTTACGGTGACCTTCAAGTGTGAATAAAAATGTAGTGGTATTTGGAGCCGCTACCAAGGGTCTTCATCAGATTTAACTATAGTTACAATGGCGTTTAGGTGTTCCGGTAAATCTGACCCTGTTTACAGTCGCCCCCAACTGTCTTCGTCAAATTTAAGAGCATCTACGGTCGTCTCCATGTGTCTGCGTAAAATTTAATTGCCTTTGTGGTAAATACCAGAAGTCTTCGTTAAATTTGACTATAGTTATGTGGTCCCTAGCCGTCTCCGTTAAATCTTAACCTGTTTGCAGTCGCCCCCAAGTGTTGTTGTCAAATTTGACCAGATTTGCGGTCGATTATGAGTGACTTTGTAAGGACTAATTAAAATCATCAGTGGCCCTAAGTATCTCCGTAAGATTTAATCACATTACAGTCGCCCCCAAGTGTCTTCGTTAAATCTAACCGCGTTTACGGTCGGACTTGAGTGCTGTTGTAAAATCCGACTAGTGATTATGGTTAGCCGTGGTCCAAGGTGTCTCCGCAACATTTTATAGTATTTACAGTCGCCCCTAAGTCTCTTCGAAAAATCCAACCTAATTTACGGTGACCCTCAAGTGTGAATAAAAATGTAGTGGTATTTGGAGCCGCTACCAAGGGTCTTCATCAGATTTAACTATAGTTACAATGGCGTTTAGGTGTTCCGTAAAATCTGACCCTGTTTACAGTCGCCCCCAAGTGTCTTCGTCAAATTTAAAAGCATTTACGGTCGTCTCCATGTGTCTGCGTAAAATTTAATTGCCTTTGTGGTAAATACCAGAAGTCTTCGTTAAATTTGACTATAGTTATGTGATCACTAGGCATCTCCGTAGAATCTTAACCTGTTTGCAGTCGCCCCCAAATGTTGTCATCAAATTTGACCAGAGTTGCGGTCGATTACAAGTGACTTTGTAAAGACTAATTAAAATCATCAGTGGCTCTAACTATCTCCGTAAGATTTAATCATATTACAGCCGCCCCCAAGTGTCTTCGTTAAATCTAACCGCGTTTACGGTCGGACTTGAGTACTGTTGTAAAATCCGACTAGTGGTTATGGTTAGCAGTGGCCCTAGGTGTCTCGGTAACATTTTATAGTATTTACAGTCGCCCCCAAGTCTCTTCGAAAAATCCAACTTAATTTACGGTGGCCCTCAAGTGTGAATAAAAATATAGTGGTATTTGGAGCCGCTACCAAGGGTCTTCATCAGATTTAACTATAGTTACAATGGCGTTTAGGTATTCCGTTAAATCTGACCCTGTTTACAGTCGCCCCCAAGTGTCTTCGTCAAATTTAAGAGCATTTACGGTCGTCTCCATGTGTCTGCATAAAATTTAATTGTCTTTGTGGTCAATACCAGAAGTCTTCGTTAAATTGAATTATAGTTATGTGGTCCCTAGGCGTCTTCGTAAAATCTTAACCTATTTGCAGTCGCCCCCAAGTGTTGTCGTCAAATTTGAACAGATTTGCGGTCTATTATTAGTGACTTTGTAAGGACTAATTAAAATCATCAGTGGCCCTAAGTATCTCCGTAAGATTTAATCATATTACAGTCGCTCCCAAGTGTCTTCGTTAAATCTAATCGCGTTTACTGGTGATTATGGTTAGCAGTCGCCCTAGGTGTCTCCGCAACATTTTATAGTATTTACAGTCGCCCCCAAGTCTCTTCGAAAAATCCAATTCAATTTACGGTAGCCCTCAAGTGTGAATATAAAATGTAGTGCTATTTAGCGCCGCTACCAAGGGTCTTCATCAGATTTAACTATAGTTACAATGACGTTTAGGTATTCCGTAAAATCCAGCCCTGTTTACAGTCGCCCCCAAGTGTCTTCGTCAAATTTAAGAGCATTTACGGGCGCCTCCATATATCTGCACAAAATTTAATTGCGTTTATGGTCAGTACCAGAAGTCTTCGTTAAATTTGATTATAGTTATGTGGTCCCCAAGCGTCTCCGTAAAATCTTAAACTTTTTGCAGTCGCCCCCAAGTGTTGTGGTCAAATTTGACCAGATTTGCGGTCGATTATTAGTGACTTTGTAAAGACTAATTAAAATCATCAGTGGCTCTAACTATCTCCGTAAGATTTAATCATATTACAGCCGCCCCCAAGTGTCTTCGTTAAATCTGACCTCGTTTACGTCGCCGTTGAGTACTTTTGCAAAATCTGACTGAACGTTTATAGTTAGCAGTGGCCCTAGGTGTCTCTGCAATATTTTATAGTATTTACAGTCGCCCCCAAGTCTCTTCGAAAAATCCAACTTAATTTACGGTGGTTCTCAAGTGTGAATATAAAATGTAGTGGTATTTAGAGCCGTTACCAAGAGTTTTCATCACATTTAACCATAGTTACAATGGCCCTTAGGTATTCCGTAAAATCTGGCCCTGTTTACAGTCGCCCCCAAGTGTCTTAATCAAATTTAACCGAGTTTACGGTCGCCCTTTCGTACTTCTATAAAATCTGACAGAATGTTTATAGTTAGCAGTGGTCTTAGGTGCCTCCGTAAGATAGACTTTACAGTCGCCTCCAAGTGTCTTCGTCAAATCCAACGGCATTTATGGTCGCCCCCAAGCGTCTTCGTAAAATTTGACCACATTTATGATCCCTATCACTGTGTCTGTACGATTCGACCAAAGTCACCAGTGGCCCTAGGTGTTTCCGTAAAATGTATTAGTACTCACAGTCGCCCCCAAGTGTCTTTGTAGAATCCATATGTATTTAACAGATATCAAAGTATCTATGTAAAATTTAAACGTATTTGGAGCTGCCACCGGGTATCTTCATCGGATTTAACTGCAGTTATAATGGCCTTTGGTCTCTAACCTTGTTTACAGTCGCCCCCAAGTGTCTACGTGAAATTTAATCGCTTATACACCCGATACAAGTGTCTTTATCAGATTTGACTATCGTTACAATAGCCTCTAGGTGTTTCCATAAAATATTACCCTGTTTGCAGTCGCCCCCAAGTGTCATCGTAAAATTTAACAAGGTTTGCGGTCGATTGTGATTGCCTTTGTAACGACTAACTAGGATCAACAGTGGCCCTAAGTATTTCAGCAAGATTTAATCATATTACATTCGCCCCCAAGTGTCTTCGTCAAATTTAATCGCGTTTACGGTCGCCCTTGAGTACTTTTGTAAAATCTGACTGAACATTTATGGTTAGCAGTGGTCTTGGTGTCTCCATAAGATTTAATAGTATTTACAGTCGCCCCCAAGTGTCTTTGTAAAATCCAACTACATTTCTGTTATCTCGGAGTATCTAGGTAAAATGTAAACGCATTTAGAGCTGTTATCAAGCATCTTCATCGGATTTAACAAGAGTCACAATAGCCCTTGAGTTTTTCTGTAAAATCTGATCTGGTATACAGTCGCCCCCAAGTTTCTACGTGAAATGTAATCACTTTTACGACCGATACCAAGTATCTATGTGAAATTTATTCTCTATTACGACCGACACGAAGTGTCTTCATCAAAACTAACTGCATGTCTTCGTAAAATTTACAGTTGACACGAAATGTCTTCTTCAAACTTGATTAATTACAGTGGCTCCTAAATAAAATAATTAACATTGTCTTTAGTTGTCTCCGTGAGATTTAATTGTATTACAGTCGCCCCCAAGTGTTCTAGTAAAAATTAATCGCGTTTACGGTCGCCCAAAAATGTCTTTACAGCGATTAACTAGGATTAACAGTAACCCTAGGCGTGTTCGTAAAATTTTATCGTATTACAATCGCCCCCTAGTGTCTTAGCAAAATCTAACCGCGTTTATCGTCGCCCTTGAGTACCCTTGTAAGATGTAACTAATTTATTATGATTGATATGAGTGACCCTAGGTGAATTCGCATAATTTAATCGTAGTGAATCTTATGTTCTTTACAGTCGCCCCCAAGTATTTCGTCAATTTAACCATATCACAGGCGCCCCCAAGTATCTCTGGAAAACTTTTCTCGGACATTTTAAGCAACCCTCTCCAACACTGCCTCTTATCCTTATCAACCCCCTTCAACCCCAACCTACCTCCACACCGCGATGAGCAGCAGCAGCGCCCCCACCGCGAACAAAATCCCCGACAGCGCCGCCCTGGCAATCGGCGGCACCGTGGTAGCCAGACCCATCAAATGGGTCATCTCCTTGGGCAACCCCTCCAGCCCCTCCTCGAACCACATAATCGGGAAAATAATATCCGGGAAAGTGGCGACCTGCTTGATGTCCACCACCTGGGACACAGCCAAGTTGATCTGCACCCTGGCCTTGGCACTCATAGCGCTGCCCATGAGGGGCTGCACGTCCATATAGAACCTGTGCTTTTCTGGGTCCGGGGGCGAAATACCATCCAGAGCCGTCCTGTAGCTGTCATTGGCGAGGTAGAAGTGGGGGAAGGACAACAGAATAGGGGAGTCTGCAACAAAAGGGTGAGAATGTGGTGGCTCGACGCGGAAAAGTTACCGTATTGGCACAAGGACACGTTGAAGAAGCCCGCGGGGGCGCACGGGGGGCCGTGGGGGCAGAAGCACAAGTTCTCGGGCTTCTCGTCCACGTCGGCGAACACGTCGAGGGGCGGGGTGAAGCGGTAGGCCTCGATGTCGTCGCTGGCTTTGACGGTTTGTTCGTACCTGGAGAAAGTACCGTGGAATAAATCAAAGGTGGCTTTGAAATATATTTAGTAAAAATTGTTTTAACGGGAAATTTTCCTTAAATAAGCAAAACAAGGTACCGAAATAGAAAAAAACAATAATAATACAGCATCATTTATAACCGCAGATGTGCTCGTAACGTAGTACGGTTCAATGCTCACTTGACAACCCACACAGTTGTGAACGATTTATGGTCATAGCCCACCTGAAACGCGGTTACATTTTTAGCAAGAATTTCTCCTCGGAGACGTGATTTTTACGCTCACTACGGTAAATGGTTGTTTCTAAACAAAAGTATCCATTACATGGTATCAAATGATTTGGATAATGAAACTTAAGACAATGTTTAATTTAACACTTTCTAAGCCAACTAATGTGGTTTGTCTCGAGTCGGCTGTAATACGTATCATTATGTATGAGCAAGTAATGTAAATGTCATGACTAACACGCATGTTTGAACACGAATTGTGCATACAGTTTTGGCGCCCATGACACGACGACAATAAGATTTGTAAACTTAGTTGGAGTAAACAACTCTGAAATGTTGAAGAGTTATCACCACCGCAATTTACAAGTGTCAAAAAACATTAATCACGGAACGACGAGTTGAGTTGTTTACGGGCAAAATTTCCTGAGGCACTTGCGTCACTTGTAGCCAATTAACCCGTCATTCGATTCCTGTAACTCTAAATCACACCCATAATACTTACACCAGAGGTAGAATCCTGCACAGGTCCTTGTCATACACGTAAATGGTACTATTCTTCGTCAAGTGCGGCGGGAAAATCGACCCATCCGACCCCATCAAGCTATTACACTTATCCGAAGTGTAGTGCGTCAAATGGGACTGCCCATTGAACTTGTCAATCAAGCCATACTTCGTAATATCATTCGCTCCAGTGAAAATCGTCACCCTGTCCCTCGAGGTACCATTTTTCTAAGCAAAAACCACAATGACGATCAGTTGGCAAAAATTTTGACCAGGTTTACATTGTACATGAGGCCGAACTCCTCGTAGGGCAGCTTCTGCTCCTTGGGCACCACGTCCTTGGCGAGTTTGAGCAAAGGGTCCTCGTACCCCCACAGCAGCTGGCCCACTGTGACCTCCACGAAGGGCTTGATCTTGAGGATGTCCATGATGCTGGCCATCGCCAACCTGAGGAACCTGGCGGCGTGCTTCGACTGGGAAGTGGCGCTCTGGAATACCACAAGGGTCACTTTTTCGCTAATTTTGTCTAGTTTTACTAATATTGGACACTCATAACGCGGACTTTCTCTTCGTGGTGGGTTTATGTAACGCTGGTCTAGGCTAGGAAAAAACGAAATGAATGTCGATCGGGTGCTCCAGATTTTCCGCTCGGGCGGACTCGGCTCGTGGACGAGGAAATTCCCCACATTCACTGGTTGGAATGTGGGGTCGCGGGGGTGTTGAGGATTTTGGGTGATTTGAAGACGGAATGAACACTTTTGGAGGTTAAAATCATGTCATAGAGGTGTAAAAATAATGAGGTATAATTTCTCACCAAATGTGAACTTTGTTCAAATAGAGGCTGCCAGCTTGTCATCCTTGGAATTGAATTAGTATATTATATTCACGGCTTTTTAGACGTTAGATGGTCATGTTTTTTTTAGTTGTTACCATGACTAACTAACACGGTTTTTATTGTCATCATGCAAATCTTACTCAACGAAAGTCGCCAATTTTAAAATTTAAATTGTATTCCCTATCAATATACTACCTAAATCCTTTTCCATTGATTTTTCTTATACTGATTATGTCGCGGTACTTTTCTTTAATGTTTCCAATTTCGTAAGGTACTACCTAAGAATATTTGCTTTAATTTTTGATATCATTGTTACGAAATTTGTTCGTCAGGTTGTTCTTTCTATGTTTTGAATCTAATCATTTCTCTTCTTTATCGAAGTACTTTCACTACTGCTTCTTGTATGCTTCAATTAGCATTCCAGAAATGCTTTTTTCATTTTTTCTTTCAAGTTATAATTTATTCCATTCCTCTTCTTTCGCGTGAATCGAGTTCTTTTTTACTTTATCGAGGTACTTATCTTTAATATTTCTTTTCTACTTCGAACTCTTTCTCTGCCTTATCGAGGCTGTTCTCCCGCTATTTCATATATGTTTCAAGTTTCTAGTTTTTATTACTAAATTTCTTTAATTTTATGAAGTACCGCTTAGAGATTTTCGCGTCAATTCGAGTCGATTTTTTTTTCACTTGCAATTTTTCCATCTTCGTAAAATACTTTTGTAGTAATTTTTTCTTCTTTCGTGTTTCGTAAGGTACTACTTTAGAATTTTTGCCTCAATTTTTGGTACCGTTTCCATTTTGAATTATTAATTTTTCAAGTTACAGCTTTTTTTTCCTTCTTATGTTTTGAACCAAATTGTTTATCATCCTTATCCAGGTACTTTTTCTAGTGTATGTTTCAAGTTTCTAGTGTTTACCTCGAATCTTTTCTAATTTCGTGAAGTACTACCTATTTTTATACTACCAATATTTTTCTTCTTCGTCTAGGTACTTTTTTCTACTATTTCTTGTATGTGTGTTTCTTGTTTTTCCCTCGCAATTTCTCCAACTTCGTAAAGTACGACCAAAGTACTTTTACTGTAATTTTTTTCTTCTCTCGTGTTGAATCGAATCCTTTTTCTTCTTTGCTTAGGTCTTTTCCTTCACCATTTCTTGTATCTCGCGATTTTCATATTTTTGCTTCGTACTACCTTAATTTTTGGCACCGTTTCCATTTTGGAAACGATTTTTTTCCTTATTTATTTTAGAAGTTACATTTTTCTCCTTATGTTTAGAACCAAATCATTTGTCTTCTTTATCCAGGTACTTTTCCTAGTGTATGTTTCAAGTTTCTAGTCTTTACCTTGGAATTTTTCTAATTTCGTGAAGTACTACCTACTTTTATACCACCAATTTTTTTCTTCAAGCACTTTTCTCTACAATTTCTTGTTTTTCTCTCGCAATTTTTTCAACTTCCTAAAGTACGACTAAAGTACTTTTAATGTAATTTTTCTTCTCTGGTGTTGAATCCAATCCTTTTTCTTCTTTATTTAGGTCTGTCTTCACCATTTCTTGTATCTCCCGATTTTCAGATTTTTGCGTCGTACTACCTTAGAATTTTTGCCTTAATTTTTGGCACCGTTTTCATTTTGGAAACGATTTTTTTCCTGATTTATTTTTCAAGTTACATTTTTTTCCTTATGTTTTGAACTAAATCGTTTTTCTTCTTTATCCAGGTACTTTTTCTAGTGTATGTTTGAAGTTTCTAGTCTATACCTTGAAGTATTTCTAATTTCGTGAAGTACTACCTATTTTTATACCACCAATTTTTTTTTTCAAACACTTTTTTCTACTATTTGTCGTATGTGTGTTTCTTGTTTTTCCCTTACACTTTTTCCAACTTCGTAAAGTACGACCAAAGTGCTTTTACTGTAATTTTTTCTTCTCTCGTGTTGAATCGAATCCTTTTTCTTCTTTGTTTAGGTCTTTTTCTTCACCATTTCTCGTATCTCTCGATTTTCATATTTTTGCTTCGTACTACTTTGGAATTTTTGCCTTCATTTTTGGTACCGTTTTCATTTTGGAAACGATTTTTTTTTCTTTATTTATTTTTCAAGTTAATTTTTTTTTCCTTATGTTTTGAACCAAATCGTTTGTCTTCTTTATCCAGGTACTTTTCCTAGTGTATGTTTCAAGTTTCTAGCCTTTACCTTGAAATTCTTCTAATTTCGTAAAGTACTACCTATTTTTATACCACCAATTTTTTTCTTCAAACACTTTTTTCTACTATTTGTCGTATGTGTGTTTCTTGTTTTTCCCTCACAATTTTTCCAACTTCGTAAAGTACGACCAAAGTGCTTTTACTGTAATTTTTTCTTCTCTCGTGTTGAATCGAATCCTTTTTCTTCTTTATTTACGTCTTTTCCTTCACCATTTCTTGCATCTCTCGATTTTCATATTTTTGCTTCGTACTACCTTAGAATTCTTGCCTTCATTTTTGGTACCGTTTCCATTTTGGAAACGATTTTTTTCCTTATTTATTTTTCAAGTTACATTTTTTTCCGTATGTTTAGAACCAAATCGTTTGTCTTCTTTATCCAGGTACTTTTCCTAGTGTATGTTTCAAGTTTCTAGTCTTTACCTTGGAATTATTCTAATTTCGTGAAGTACTACATATTTTTATACCACCAATTTTTTTCTTCAAGCACTTTTCTCTACAATTTCTTGTTTTTCTCTCGCAATTTTTCCAACTTCCTAAAGTACGACTAAAGTACTTTTAATGTAATTTTTCTTCTCTCGTGTTGAATCCAATCATTTTTCTTCTTAATTTAGGTCTTTCTTCACTATTTCTTGTATCTCCCGATTTTCAGATTTTTGCGTCGTACTACCTTAGAATTTTTGCCTTAATTTTTGGTACCGTTTTCATTTTGGAAACGATTTTTTTCCTTAGTCATTTTTCAAGTTACATTTTTTCCTTATGTTTTGAACTAAATCGTTTTTCTTCTTTATCCAGGTACTTTTTCTAGTGTATGTTTCAAGTTTCTAGTCTATTCCTTGAAGTATTTCTAATTTCGTGAAGTACTACCTATTTTTATACCACCAATTTTTTTCTTCAAGCACTTTTTTCTACTATTTCTTGTATGTGTGTTTCTTGTTTTTCCCTCACAATTTTTCCAACCTAGTAAAGTACGACTAAATTACTTTTACTATAATGTTTTCTTCTCTCGTGTTGAATCGAATCCTTTTTCTTCTTTATTTATGGTATGGCATTTGCCAAAATCAGTCTTATCTCAGCAAATACTAGCCCCGCCCACCCGCCCGTATTTTCTCAGAGGATATGTGATTTGCCAAAAACAGTCTTATCTGAGCAAGTACTAGCCCCACCCACCCACCCGTATTTTCTCAGAGAATATGTCATTTGCCAAAATAAGACTTATCTTAGCAAGTACTACCCTCTGGCAAATAAAAGGCGGGTTGGCGGGGCTAGCACTTGCTAATATAAGTTTTATTTTGGCAAATGACATATCCTCTGAGAAAATAGGGGCGGGTGGGCGGGGCTAGTACTTGTTAAGATTAGACTGATTACTTTTGTTTTCGTGTTTTTTGTACCACTGATATTTCAGAACCGGTTTTTTCCATTTTTTTTTAGTTATAGTTCATTCTTTGTTTCATCTTTCGTAAAGAATCGAATTCATTTTCTTCTTTATCGACGTGCTTTTCTTTACCATTTGTCGTACCTTTCGATTTTCTTGTTTTTCCTTCCTAAGGTACTACCGCAGAATTTTTCCTTTACTGTTTGGTACCATTTCCATTTTAGAAACGATTTTCTTCCGAATTTATTTCTCAAATTACAGCCTATTCTGGTTTTCCTTCTCATGTTTTGAAACGAATTCTTTCTCTTCTTTATGGTAGTACTTTTCCTACTATTTCGTATAATTATGTTTCAAGTTTCTAGTCTTTACCTCGAAATTTTTCTAATTTCGTAAAGTAGTTTTTAAGGATTTTCGCCGCAATTTTTGGTACCATGTCCATTCTACAAATGATTTCTCAAATGTATGGTTAGTACTTTTTTCTTTTTGCGTGTTGAGTAGATCTTTTTCTTCCTTATCTAGGTACTTTTCTCTATTGTATCTTGTCTTTTTTTGACTATTTTTCCCACTTCGTAAAGTACCACCAAAGTACTTTTGTTTTAATGTTTTGTACCAACGATACTCCGCAACCGGTTTTTTCCACTTTTTTCTTTTAAGCTATAGTTTATTCTTTGTATCATCCTTCGTAATAAATCGAATTCATTTTCTTCTTTATCGAAGTGCCTTTCTTTACCATTTGTCATATCTTTCGATTTTCTTGTTTTTCGTTTTTAAGGTACTACCTTAAAAATTTTGTCTTAGTTTTTGGAAACATTTCCATTTTACAAACGATTTTTTTCCAAATTTATTTTTCAAGTCAGTTTATTCTTTTTTCTTTGTTACGTCTTGAATCTTCTTTACGGAGGTACTTTTCCTACTATTTCGTATATATTTCAAGTTTCAAGTCTTTCCTTCAAAATTTTTCTTATTTCGTACAGTATTTCCTAAGGATTTTCGCCTGAATATTAGTATTATGTCCATTCTACTTATGATTTTTTTTCTCATGTTTTGCTTTTAAGTTTATGGTTAGTACTTTTTTCTTTTT